TTTCATATCCCCGACGGTATCTTGCAATCCCCTGGTAACGCTCTACGGGTTTCATTGTGAGAAGCCAAAACAAAACTTATGTAGCGTAAGGTGATCTGATTTAAATGTCAGGGTGCAAATCTTCTACCGCCGTCTTAGACCTGACGTTTCAGCAAAGTCATCTAAACTGCTCTCACTTTACATTCTACATGTGACTGGTATCGAAAGGAATAAATATTTTAAATGAATCTGTTAACTTGTGACCAGAGTGTAGTTGAGAATGAAGTTTGTATGAATATTTAACATATTGTTTCATTACTAGGACCTGTAGAACCCTTCTATTGCCAAGTTAAACGTGTATAGGCTGCAGTATGATGGGGTATAGAAATGCCAATAAGAAGCACTCTTTGTACAGGGGACTTGGCTGTTTCTGATATGATTTTAGAGCGTCAGAGAGCTCGGAGGGAGCGCATGGCCTGTGAAGTCGCCAGTAACCAGCACGTGGATCTGACACCAGGCAGCGATGTATTCCATGCAGGACATGGAACAGTTTAAAGAAGAATTTGGGAATAGCAGGCTTTGTTTTAATGTGTGACGATCGTTACAAATTAGCAGAAATATGAGCCATGGAGTTTAGAAAAGGACAGATTAAAGTGAGACTAAGAGGATAAAACAAGCCTCAAATGTCCTCTCTGTGAATCCACAGCGTGTCCTGTCCAGACAGCACCATTAATAACAGCCTGTACTCTGGGTAAGATTTATGTGCGAGATTCAGGAAGATCAAAAGACTTCCACGGACATCATGACGGGCAATATAGAGAGTGAATGGACCTCACACCCGTGGATGGCTCAGGGTTAATCAATAATGGATATAGTGTGCCCCCTGTAGGCAGCAGGCTGACATTGAAAGGTGTCATGACACACCATGAGAACCAACATGGGACATGGCACAGTGAACTTCGAGGCTTGTTAAGGTGATACGGGAATTACTGAGAGAATATAATTCATCTCAATATCAAAAACCATACACTTTGACATTACAGGAGACACAGAAAGCAGTTTACAGTTTCTGGGTTTAATTGACCTATTTCACACGCTTAAAGGAACATTCTAAGCACCAAAACAACTTTAGCTTAATGAAGTAGTTTTGGTGTATAGATCATGCCCCTGCAGTCTCACTTCTCAATTCTCTGCCATTATGGAGTTAAATCACTTTTGTTTCTGTTAATGCAGCCCTAGCAACACCTCCCCTGGCTCTGACTGGCACAGCCTGCATGGAAACAAAAATGGCTTCATTTTCAGTCTGATCTTACAGCGCAGTGTGTTTACTTTAGACGTTTTCATCTCCTGCTCTGTTAGATAGTAAAGCCTGCAGCAGCCTCCTGTGTGCAGGAGTTATGACATTGTAAATGACGCAGAATGTGCTGAGTCAGGTAGATATAATAATATAGATATTTTTGGGGATGTGTGTAAGTAGGCTGTGAAGGTCATATACAGGTGAGGTGTGACTCGAGCTTTATAAACATCATGTAAAGTTATAGGAAGTGTTAAATGGAGTAATGGGTTGAGTTATAAGGAGGGACATATGGAGTAATAGGAGGGAATATATGGAGTAATAGGAGGAGTTATAGTAAGGGATATATGGCGTAATAGGAGGAGTTATAGGGAGGGTTATATGGAGTAATAGGAGGAGTTATAGTAAGGGTTATATGGAGTAATAGGAGGGAATATATGGAGTAATAGGAGGAGTTATAGTAAGGGATATATGGAGTAATAGGAGGAGTTATAGGGAGGGTTATATGGAGTAATAGGAGGGGTTATAGGGAGGGTTATATGGAGTAATAGGAGGAGTTATAGGGAGGGTTATATGGAGTAATTGGAGGGGTTATATGGTGTAATAGGAGGAGTTATAGTTAGGGATATATGGAGTAATAGGAGGGGTTATAGGGAGGGTTATATGGAGTAATAGGAGGAGTTATAGGGAGGCTTATATGGAGTAATATGGGGAGTTATAGGGAGGGTTATATGGAGTAATAGGAGGGGTTATAGGGAGGGTTATATGGAGTAATTGGAGGGGTTATAGGGAGGGTTATATGGAGTAATAGGAAGAGTTATAGTAAGGGATATATGGAGTAATAGGAGGAGTTATAGGGAGGGTTATATGGAATAATAGGAGGAGCTATAGGGAGGGTTATATGGAGTAATAGGAGAGGTTATAGGGAGGGTTATATGGAGTAATAGGAGAGGTTATAGGGAGGGTTATATGGAGTTATAGGGAGGGTTATATGGAGTAATAGGAGGGGTTATAGGGAGGGTTATATGGAGTAATAGGAGGAGTTATAGGGAGGGTTATATGGAGTAACAGGAGGAGTTATAGGGAGGGTTATATGGAGTAATAGGAGGGGTTATAGGGAGGGTTATATGGAGTAATAGGAGGGGTTATAGGGAGGGTTATATGGAGTAATAGGAGGAGTTATAGGGAGGGTTATATGGAGTAATAGGAGGAGTTATAGGGAGCTTTATATGGAGTAATAGGAGGGGTTATAGGGAGGTTATATGGAGTAATAGGAGGAGTTATAGGGAGGGTTATATGGAGTAATAGGAGGAGTTATAGGGAGGTTATATGGAGTAATAGGAGGAGTTATAGGGAGGGTTTTATGGAGTAATAGGAGGGGTTATAGGGAGGGTTATATGGAGTAATAGGAGGGGTTATAGGGAGGGTTATAGGGAGTAATAGGGGGAGTTATAGGGAGGGTTATAGGGAGTAATAGGAGGAGTTATAGGGAGGTTATATGGAGTAATAGGAGGGGTTATAGGGAGGGTTATATGGAGTAATAGGAGGAGTTATAGGGAGGGTTATATGGAGTAATAGGAGGGGTTATAGGGAGGGTTATATGGAATAATAGGAGGAGCTATAGGGAAGGTTATATGGAGTAATAGGAGGAGTTATAGGGAGGGTTATATGGAGTAATAGGAGGAGTTATAGGTAGGGTTATATGGAGGGTTATATGGAGTAATAGGAGTTATAGAAAGGTTATATGGAGTAATAGGAGGAATTATAGGGAGGATTATATGGAGTAATAGGAGTTATAGAAAGGTTATAAGGAGTAATAGGAGGAGTTATAGGGAGGGTTATATGGAGAGACGCATACACACTAGCTAACAGACACACACATTTACTGACAGACATACACACTCACTGACAGACAGACATACACACTCACTCACAAAACACACACTCACTAACAGATGCACACAAACTAACACACTCAGTAACAGACACACACACTAACACACAAACATAATAAAACACACACACACTCTCTAACACTAACACACTCTAACACACACACTAACACACTCAAACACACACACACACACACACACTAACACACTCAAACACTAACACACAAACACTCTCTAACACTAACACACTTACACACTAACCCTAACACACACACGTTTTTTTTTTTAATTTAATCCCCCCAGCCACCTTACCTTTCGGAGTGCTGAGGGGAATCCCTGGGGTCCAGTGGTGTCTGCCGGCGGGCAGGCTGGCGGGCGCGCGAGGGAGCACTCTCCCTGGCTGAGTGCTTCCTGTTCAGCTCCCTCGCGCGCCGCGTACTGATGCCGGAGCCGGAAATTAACATCATCTTCCGGCTCCGGTATCAGTGCGGTGCGGGAGGGAGCTGAACAGGAAGCACTCAGGGGAGAGTGCTCCCTCACGCACCTGCCAGCCTGCCTGCCGGGTGATACCAGGGCCAGTCCCAGGAGAAGAGGCTGGCCACAGTGGCATACATACCGGTCGCAGGTCAGCCGCGACCCCTGCGCCCGGTATGTACGCCACTGTCATAGAGTGAGAGAGCAGCCGCCAGCAATGCCCTGCAGTCATTGTTATAAGCTCCGCCCTTTACACCTGGCAGTCAGTATAGAGAGAGCCACCTCCATCTTAGCTCCCTGTCAGTCATTGTTATAAGCTCCGCCCTTTACACCTGGCAGTCAGTATAGAGAGAGCCGCCTCCATCTTAGCTCCCTGTCAATCATTGTTATAAGCTCCGCCCTTTACACCTGGCAGTCAGTATAGAGAGAGCCACCTCCATCTTAGCTCCCTGTCAATCATTGTTATAAGCTCCGCCCTTTACACCTGGCAGTCAGTATAGAGAGAGCCGCCTCCATCTTAGCTCCCTGTCAATCATTGTTATAAGCTCCGCCCTTTACACCTGGCAGTCAGTATAGAGAGAGCCGCCTCCATCTTAGCTCCCTGTCAATCATTGTTATAAGCTCCGCCCATTACACCTGGCAGTCAGTATAGAAGAGGAGCCTCCATCTTAGCTCCCTGTCAATCATTGTTATAAGCTCCGCCCATTACACCTGGCAGTTAGTTACAAAGAGGAGCACACATGAAACAATGTTACCATTTCTCCTCCACATTTACAATGTGTGCCATGGCTGTGCCTTGTTTGAACTGGTTTATAATGACATTTGCTAAATTGTTTATACAAATTTCAACAAAAATGGAGAATCACATGACAAAAATGTTAACACAAGATGTATTTAAAGATGAAAATGAAGGAAAGGGACCTCAGTTGAGAAAAAGGATAAATGAGTCATTTATTACACGTGAGTTTACAGAGGAAGAGGTTCTATTTCAACTGTCAAAAGTAAAGACAAATAAGTCAATGGGACCTGATGGAATACACCCAAAACTATTAAAAGAGCTTAGTGGTGTACTAGCAAAACCATTAACAGATTTATTTAACCAACCATTGTTAACAGGAGTAGTCCCAGAAGATTGGAAGTTAGCGAATGTTGTGCCCATTTACAAGAAAGGTAATAGGGAGGAGTCGGGCAACTATAGGCCAGTAAGCCTTACTTCAGTAGTGGGGAAAGTGATGGAAACCATGTTAACGGATAGGATTGATGAACATCTAAAAACACATGGATTTCAAGATCAGAGACAACATGGGTTTACTTCAAGGAGATCATGCCAAACTAATCTTATTGATTTTTTTGATTGGGTAACTAAAATTATAGATCAGGGTGGTGCAGTAGACATTGCTTACCTAGATTTCAGTAAGGCTTTGACACTGTTGCACATAGAAGGCTTATCAATAAACTGCAATCTTTAAGTTTGGATTCCAATATTGTTGAATGGGTAAGGCAGTGGCTGAGTGACAGGCAACAGAGGGTTGTAGTTAATGGAATATATTCGAAGCTTGGACTTGTCACCAGTGGGGTACCTCAGGGATCTATACTTGGACCCATTCTCTTTAATATTTTTTATTAGTGATATTGCAGAAGGTCTTGATGGTAAGGTATGTCTTTTTGCTGATGATACTAAGATATGTAACAGGGTTGATGTTCCAGGAGGGACAAGCCAAATGGCAAATGATTTAGGTAAACTAGAAAATGGTCAGAGTTGTGGCAGCTGACATTTAATGTGGATAAGTGCAAGATAATGCATCTTGGACGTAAAAACCCAAGGGCAAAGTACAGAATAT